TTAGGGTTTAGGGTTTAGGGGACGAGGAGTTCGATGAAATATAGTCATTCCCCGCCCAAGATCCACATGTGTATGGTTGCACAGTGTAGGGGTTAGGGGAATGTTACCCCCCAATAATGAAGAATGAGCCCTAAAGCCTAAACCCTAGATCAAGTGAAAAAGGAAATGGAAGATGAGAAGGAAACTGGGGTTAGCTGGGGTTTCTTCCCCAATCGTACTATATTTCCCTGAAGCCCACCATTGTAACTTTTTATAAGTGGGTTACTTTGCCCCCTAAAGTAGCAAGCCTAGGAATGTGGAAGGCTTCGGATATGTGTGGGCTTACGGGATCAAAGTTCGGGGCTTGAATGTGTTACAGTTCGGGATTTGGGGATGTAGGCTTCGTGCTGGCCGCCTGAAAGCAGTCAAGTTAGAATCAGATTAGAACTTATGGTCGCTTAATTACAACTGACAACTACCAGTATTTGTCACACTAACAGTACAAAGTATATTGGCCTGCCCCCCTGAGGAGCCCGGACAGATCTGCGGAACAACCGCGGACAAACGGCGACCGAGTTGGCGATAGAAATGGGGTCGCCAGACTACGTCGTAGAGGCACGAAGAGCGCTCTTCCATATCATGTTCCATCTGATTCTCCTTTATTGGGCGTATAGTCATATGAGTAGTATTCTATTTGCGGAATGTCCGAGAATCATACTATGGTACGCAATATAGAGTAAGATTGTATCCTCCTCTTGGGGTATAGTATTTTATACAAAGAATGTATATCTTACTGGGTTCAACCACAAAAAAACACTACTCATATGCTCCAGCCCCGGTCACACCCTAAACCCTAAACCCTAAATCCTAAACCCTAAACCCTAAACCTGATGCAGGCGCTGCAGGGTCCTGGTACAGCACGTGACAGGTTGGTAGAGACCTACGTGACAAATGAAATGCGGCGCACCTCCTCAGATTGACTGGGTTTTCGTGCATGCAAAGTTCCTGCACGCAATCTCAGCAGCGGAGTATTGTGAGGTGCTTTGAGTTTCTCACGTTTAGTTCCTAAAGGTTTGGTTTCAGTGCTTGTCCGCATGCAGACCTGTCTGAATGCCAAAACCGAATTTCAAAATGATATGCATAGAGTTGATCATGAATTCCGTCTCCAAGGGTTCTTATTCAATGAGATCTGGAAGACGATCAGAATCAACAATTTTTGGGAGGGATTCCCATACTAATACGTTTCCTAATATCTTGGCCAATCTAAATCCATGTATCTAAGATTTCCAAATCACATTCATATTCTCGATCAATTCAAATCCGCCTGGGAATTCATATGAATATGATTATAATTCGTATCATCGCGGGATTTCATAATTGAAGATAATTTCTCCTGTATATATATATATGGAAATGAGGATATACTCCCTTGGATTTTTGCGCATATCGTAATTTAGCTTGCGATGATTTAATATATATTTTTTAATATTTACGTAGTAAATCTAGGAAAGATATTTCGAATCACGGAACTTAGAATTTTATAAATTCAAAGCCTTAATAGATTTTCTATATCGGAAGAATCCTAGATATAAAGGATCTAAGATTTTTTGGCTTCTCAATATACGTATATAAAGAAAATATTTCGTTTATAATTTCTGTATTCGGAGAATATATATTAGATTTCTCAAATTATAATAGATAGAATTTATATATAATTCTACGAATTATATGAAATTTTATATTATGATATTTTAATCTTATTGATGATTATATATTTTATATGATGCTATCTAGATAAAGATATAAAATAGAAAGAAGAGGTATGGATATATATATATATAATAAAGGAATTTAGATATTCTACATAAATAGATAGATGAATAGAATAAGGTATAATTTCTTAAGAATATTAATTTTAGAGATTATGAAATATGGGATGACGAAATATATCTAGAAATATAAATGATTCGATCTTTAGCATATATATATATATATTTGATTGAATTAATTCTTTAAAAATAATCGACATGAATATAAGAGTCTGAAAGACAAATTATTATACTATTAATTAGACGATATATTTTGAATAATTGAATGATATTTATGATGAATTCTGAAGAAATCAAAATTGGAATATTCTTTTATCAATCTATTCTTCTCTATTCAGATCGTATCTATATCGGAGATTTTCTTCTCATCTCTCGTATATTGGATTTTATATTTTCTTTTTTTTTGTTTCATCCGACGAGATTCGGAGGGAGGATATGATTCTTCATTATATACCGGATCTTTATTGATCGATATATTTTCTATATTTTCTAAATTTGAATTTTTCGTATTGATAGAATATTTCAATAATAATTTATATTCATATCATTCGTGCGAATTCAAATTTTCATTCGGATCTCTATTAATATATTTTCTACGGATTTTTCATTCCGGATCCTAGATATCTCTGAGATTTTTTATTTTTCGGATAAATTCGAAAATTGAAAAGTTGAGAGATTTTGAAATTAGGAATGACGATCAAAAATATTGGAGGATTTTGGATATATTCCTTTTCAACATAATCCGTATTCATCGTTTTATTCGTATATATTTCAATCAATCTAATTCGTAATCGTTCGATATCTCGACGAATCGGAACGACGATCTTAAATGGATTAATAATAATAATTCTATATATCGGTCCGTTCTTCTGATGATAATTTATTGAATCTATGGTTTTATCTATCGATCTATCATTTCATTCAAAAGCTCGTCTATTTTTTCGTAAATCTAGAAATTTCCCATTCTATCTCTCTAATATTATCTGAAATTATCTATTTGAAAAATGATTTTCAATTTATTTATCAAATGAATTTCTAATCAAATCCGTCATTATATCAATTAAAAAAGGAAATCTCTGTCTTTTTGGAATTCTCGATTTATTCGTCTCTATCTTTCGATGATTCGAATATTAATTTTTCGATTTATCTTATATTATTGAATTTGACGAATTTATATCTGAAATTTATAGAGAATGATATATAGGTTTTCTCATATTATCGATTATCAATATCTCGATCTATGATCGATATCTCGAATAAATATATTAGATCATTTCCTCTAAATATTATATTGTATAGAATTTCTTGTAATCATATAATTGAAAGCAAATATTCTTTTTCGATGAATTGGAATCTATAAAATCATGAATAATTGAAATAGATAATCAATTATATCAATGATTCTCGTCGAATTTTCAATTTTGAAAGAATTATTTTTATATCTTCTATAGATATAAGATATATGAAATTATATTCAAAATATTGATAATTTCATATCTCATAGGATATCTATCTAATTTACCTAATCTATTCATTAAATCGATCGATTATTAGATCGATATATCGATAATTTGTTCGATAATTATTTGATTGAAAAATTGATAAATTATAATTCGATCTTGAAATTTCAATATTTTTAATTCGAGAATCGGATCTCCATTATAAGGCGCATTACGATTATTTCCATAAAATCAAAAGAATTTCTGAATGATATAATGAAATATATGATTGGACGGATAATTTTATTCCCTGAATATATTTCTATATTGCGGAGGATATAGAATATTTAGAGATTCATTTCTATTGATTTGGCTAGTGGAGGAATTATTACGTTGGAATCTTGGAATAAATTTAAGATTCTATAATTATTATAGATGGGGGATTTGAGATTTATTATTTAGAGAGGAATCTACGGGGGAGGAGATGAGCTATCTTGAAATACAAATATATCAATTCGACGAATTTTCCGCCTATAGAAAAATGCGGATTCAGATTTAAGATAATTATGCGGAAAGATGAATTTGATGAGAAATATGATAATCAGATCTCATAATAATTTCTTATTTGTAGAAGGAAATATTAATCTTAGGATGAATTAATGAAGATGCTTTTGAAATTTTATATATCTTCTGATATAAATCTGAAAAGAAATTTTCTATAGTTAGATAAAATGATATTGATGAGATAGATATCAATATCTATAAGAGATATTTAAATATAATTGGATATTATATATCAAGAAATTATCTTGGAAATATTATTTTTCGAAAATAGAGATTTCCCAAAATTAGGGCTATCTTTTTGGAGGTCCATATAATAAGGATTATAGTATTTTGGGGTCTATATTATATTGGGATCTCCTTATCTTAGGAAATTACCATATATATATATCTCTTATTTAAGATCATATATCAAGAATCTGATTGAAGATAATAGGGAATTTTATGAGAGAAATGAAATCTTGATTTCATTGAGAAATATTATGAATATTATCACCTATTAAATTATCCGAAAGATCTATTCTAATATCTAATTATATTCTCAGAGAATGAAAATCTATCAAATCGTCGAGAATAATCATTCTAATATCTAAGATCCTGATCAGGAAATAAAAAAATATTCTAATATTTGAAATAAATTATATAAGAACAAAAATATATCAAATCGCCGGGATTAATCGTTATATTATCCAAATTTTATTAAGAGAGAAATCAAAAATCTATAAGATCAGAACGCCATAAACGATCATTGAAATATCTATATTATATTATTCAAGAACGAAAATCTATCAGGACGATACGAGCGATTATTCTATATCTAAATTGATAAAATCAACGAAAAATTATCCAATCATCAAGAGCGATCATTCCAATATTTAAAGATAGATATTCAAAAATAGAAAATTCATCAAATCTATGAGAATGATCATCTAATTATGAATATCAGATTTTCGAAAATAAAAATCTATCAAATCGCGAGGAACGGTCATTCTAATATTCAAGAAATTATTATCAGGAAACGAAAATATATTAGAATATCAAGAGAAGTCATTCTAATATTCACGATATATTGCCCGAGAATGAAAATCGATCAATTCATGGGAAATGTTCCTTCTAATCTTATATTTAATCCAAAAGAAAATGAGAAATCATCTATCAAATCATCAGAAATAATCATCCGAATATTCAAATTAAATCGTCGAAGAACGAATATCTATCATTTCGCCAAGAGCAATCATTATAATATTTGAACTATATTATCAAAAATTAAATATTTATCAAATTATCGAAAAAAATCGTTCAAATATTCCCATTATCTTATCTAAGAACGAAAATCTATCAAATCATCTTCAATAATCGTTTCAATATTTAGATTATGAAGAAATAGAAATCTATTAATCTATCAATTCGCCGAGATATTTAATCCAATATTCATATTATATTGCCAACGAACGAAAATCTCTATCAAATCGGCAAGATGAGATATTCTAATCTAAATTAGACCAGAAATAAAAGCTATCCTTTCGATCGAATGAATATTTAAAATATAATATCAACGATCAAAAAACCTATCAAATCGCCAAGAACGATTAGATTTTATTATATCATTTATAAACGAAAATCTATCCAATCTATGACCGCTCATGCCAAAATTCTAATCGATTCAATCAAATAGAAGCTATCAAATAATTCTACATGACTCTTCCAAATATTCTAAATAAATTTCCAAAATACGAAAATATATTGAATCATCGAGAAAGATTATTCCGATAAAAAAATCTAAAAACGAAAATCTACCCAATCATCGAGACCCTCTACTAGACCTTTTCTAAAGCCTCATGAGCATAAATATTCCAATATTTGAATCGTATTCCCAACAACCGATTATCTATTTATAAATTCATCGAAAGCACTCATTCCGAATTTGGTATTAAAATATCTAAGATTAAAAATCTATTAAGAATATTCAATCCAATATATTTAAATTTTAAGAAAAATGAATCTCTATCATCATCCCATTTCCGATAAATGATTATATTATATATTAAATTCATAGAATTATAGAAAACTCGTAAATAATCATAAAAAAAATTCGAGAGCCCGAAATAGGTGCGCGAGAACAACCCAAAAAATCGCAGAGAATTTTGCTCG